ATAGAAGAGTGGATCTATGGATTTGAGCCCCTGTATGGCTCGAAAAGAAACTGTATGGTTTCAGAATTGGAGAGACTCGATGAGTCACATGGGTGTACTCGACGAGTTGTATGAACATGTGCATGGAATCGGTAAGTTGGAAGAACAACTCGGTGAGTCTGTTGAAGATTGCCTTGGACTCGGCGAGTCTGTTCTTTGACTCGACGAGTTTGGTCGCAGAATCCAACCTTTTTTGGTTAAATCTTTTGATTAGTGAGTCGGTTGGTGACTGTGTGAGTTGGACAGGATGGAATTCCGAGATCGTTGAACTCGACGAGTCTTGGGGCGACTTGACGAGTTGAGTCGTGTTATGGGAGTTTCTGAGTATAAGAACTCGACGAGTCGACGGGTTTACTCGGTGAGTAGAGTTAAATAGGAAGGTCGACTTTGACTGAGGACTTTGACTTTAAGCAAGAGTTGACTAGTTTGACTTCCAATGGTATTTTAGTAATTTTGATATTTATGGAATTGGTTCTTTGGTAGTGTTCTGTGGTGAAGTTTGTGTCGCTGGTCGGAGCATCTTGGTCTTATCTCTTCAGTCGGCAACTCCAGGTGTGTTCCCCTCACTATATCAATAGGGTCTACGACACCAAGGTTGGCCCTTTATGATTTACATCCTAGCTTAGGATAGTTGTTATGTTATTTTTATGCTAGATTTCATCTTGGTTTAGGATGGTTGCTATGTTTGATTACATCCTGGCTTAGGATGGTTTCTATGTTATTGCTATGTTAGATTTCATCCTGGTTTAGGATGGTTGCTATGTTGGAGATCGGTTAGATCGGTATCCTAGTTATAGGATGGTTGCCATGTTAATGATCTGTTAGATCTGCATCTTTAGTTGTTATATGTATGTGCACATGTTTATTGGTTTGTGGAAGTGTTAAGGCAGGTCCTGCTATGTTCCGTAGTGCCAAGACACCCTGGGCGGACCGGGTAGACTGCAGGCCCGGGTCGGCCAAATCTAATCAGGCCGAAGGCCCAACGAGCTGTCCGGATAGGCTGAAGGCCCCGAGAAGGGTAGTCCAGACGTGCCGATGGCTCGGAAGGCGGTCCAGATAGGTTGAGGACCAGGAGTCGGTCCAGTCAGACTGATGACTCATTATACATGTCGTTTGTTGTTTTCTTATATGTTTATATGATATGGTTATATCTGTACGGCGTTGGTATTATTGGGGTAACTCACTAAGCCTTCGAACTTACATTTATCGATTATTGTTTCAGGTATTTTTATGATCATGGGAAAGCGAAGGCGTGATCGTGCACCTCCTTACATTTTCATGATTGATTTTAGGGATGCTCTGATGTTTAAATTATTTTGAAAGTAAACTGTAATAACTTGATGCTTTTAAAGTTTTTAAAAAGTTTTAAATTGGATTGAATTTTATGGATGTTACAGTCTCTACTCGATGGGAGTGTTTGGGAGAGAAAGAAAAGCAATGATGACGACAGCCGACACTTGGCGCAAAAGACTAGGCCACGCTTCCGGTGAAAACCTTACAAAAATTAATTTTCTTAATAGTTTTTTGTTTGATAAGTCTTGTGATTCTTGTTCCAATGGAAAACATACTAGGCTTCCTTTTTATAGTAGTGAAATTAAAAGTACTGATTGTTTTGACTTATTGTATTGCGACATATATGGCAAATATCGCATTTCATATCTTTCAGGTGCTAGCTATTTCTTGACTATTGTTGACGATTTCAGTAGAACCGTTTGGGTTTTATGTTAAAATTTAAAAATGAAGCTAGCAAACATTTGATAAGCTTCCACAAAATCATTAAAATTAAATTTAAAAAATATGTTATAAGGATTAGGTGTGACAATGGTGGTGAATTTAGCTCAAATGATGTGCTAAAGTTCTATAATGAACAAGAAATCCTCCTTGAAAACACATGTCCACATACCCCACAACAAAATGGGGTAGTTGAACGAAAACACATGCACCTTCTTGAAATAGCCTGCGCCTTGATATTTGAAGCAAACCTTCCAAAACGATTTTGGGGTGAATGTGTGATGATAGCCGCTTACATCATCAACCGTTTGCCTCCTAAAGTTATTAACAGCAAAACTCCGTATGAAATTCTTTTCAAACAAAAGCTGGAGTATGATATGATGAGAATTTTTGGATGCATGGTCTATTTTAGGAATACTGAGATGAAAAGAGACAAATTCGAGATGAGAAGAAGACCCGAGATTTTCTTAGGCTATCCAACAGGAACCAGAGGCTACAAGCTACGACATCGAGAGTAAAAGGCTAATTTTGACTAGAGATGTTCATTTTCATGAGAATAACTTTCCTTTCAAGGTCATCAATAATATTAGTCAAGAAGATCCTCTAGATACATCGAGTCATTGTGAGAACACATATGAAGATGAAATAGTTGAGGATCACATTAAACAAAATAGTAAACCTATCATCACTGCTGATAATACTAACCAAGAAAATTCTAAACCAAATGTTGAATACCACCCAACTCAAGAACATGAGATTGATCGTGTCCTTGAGGAATCTCGTCCAAAACGAACCAGATCCCAACCAACGCATCCTCAAGATTACGTCGTCACTCTCCCTCCCTTGGTAGATCCTATGCACACCTCATCAAATCAATCTTCCTCGACGGTACATTCCTTAACAAACTATGTCTCTTATAAAGATTTTTCTGATTCTCATAAGGCTTTCTTAGCGGCTATTGACTCCAACAATGAGCCAAAGTTTTTCTATTAGGCTGCAAAGGACGAACGGTGGAGAGAAGCCATGAAAAGGGAGATCCGTGCTCTTGAAGAAAATGGTACTTGGAGTCTTGAACATTTACCAAAATGCAAGTGTGCTATTGATTCAAAGTGGGTTTACAAGGTGAAGTACAAACCCAATGTTGAAATCGAGCAGTACAAAGCTCGTCTTGTAGCAAAGGGTTTCACTCAGATGGAAGGATTCGATTACCATGACACCTTTGCTCCGTTTGCCAAGTTAGTCGCCGTTCGAATCCTCCTTGCAGTAGGAGTCAAGAAAGATTGGAGCATTCAACAATTGGATGTTAACAATGTCTTCTTGCATGGCGATCTTCATGAAGAAGTCTACATGAAGCCACCTCAAGGTTTACAGAGGAAGGAGATACTAGAGTTTGAAGGCTGAAGAAATCGATATATGACTTAAAATAGGCTTCACGGAATTGGTATGAAAAATTTACCAATGCTCTCCTTGAACTTGGCTTTTACCAATCCAAAGCCGATCATTCTCTTTTTGTTTAATGAGTAGATAAGGGTTTTTATAGCTGCTCTTATTTATGTCGATGATGTGATCATTATCGGGGATGACACACAAAAGATACAAGACACAAAGAAAGAGCTTGATAAATTGTTTAGCATCAAAGACCTTGGTAACTTAAAATACTTTCTTGGTATTGAGGTTGCTCGCACCTCAGAAGGTTTAGTACTAAGCCAGCGAAAATATATCTTAGATATCTTGGCAGATTGTGGTTTACAAGGGTGACGGCCAAGTACCTTTCCTATTGAACAAAATTTGAAGCTAACCAAAGTGAAGATCAGCCACAAGTGGATGCTAGTAAGTATCGTCACATAGTTGGTCGTTTGCTCTATTTACAAGCCACTAGGCCCGATATTGCTTACACTGTGAACATCTTGAGCCAATTTGTTGCTGACCCACGACAACCACACCTAAACGTTGTTCATAGAGTTCTACGCTATCTCAAAGCTACTTTAGGGCAAGGAGTTCCTTTCCCTCGTGAAAGTGGATGTACCCTCATGGCTTATTGTGACGCATATTGGTTGGAATGCCCACTTACCAGAAAGTCTAGAACAAGTTATATACTCTTGCCGGGGAATGCTCCTATATCTTGGAAAACAAAGAAGCAATCAGTTGTGTCCAGATCATCAGCAGATGCGGAATACAGATCCATGGCTTCTATTATTATGAAGTTCTGTGGGTTCGTTGGCTCATAAAGGATCTAGAAATTATTATCACTGGCCCGACTTCGTTATGTTGTGATAATCAAGTTGCCCGTCACATCACTAGCAATCTTGTCTTCCATGAGAGAACTAAACATGTGAAAATGGACTGTTATTTTGTTCGTGAAAGGGTGGATTGTCACAAGATACAACCTCGGCATATTGAGTCTAAAATGCAGATTGTTGATATCCTCACGAAAGGATTCGGAACTCACCGGTTAAACTTTCTTCTTGACAAGTTGGGCGTTCGAATCTACACGTTCCAACTTGAGGGGGAGTATTGGGTTATTTAGTCGTATATATCTTCTAGTTGTTTTCCTATTGTTTAGCTTGTTAGCTTTATCTCTTAAGTGCTATCAGGATATAGCCTCCTCACGTTTGTAATTGTTTTGTAGATATACGAAAAGATTGTTCCCTATTCTATCAATTTTATCATATAGAGCGTGTTAAAGTGCGGTTTACATATATTTAAGAGGTTGGAGTTATCTTGAAGAAGGATTTACCATCAAATAATGTTGAAATTCAATTCCAAACATCTAAGGTATCATATCCTTTAAAGATTCAAGCTTGGGGGTGGGTTGAGGATTAATAAAAAATTTACTTTTTAGTAGGTGGTGTGTTAATACGAGTTCGATGGTTTAAGAGACTAAAGCTCATGTTTCTCTTTGGTGGAGGGATATCCGTGTCACCGTAGGATCTATTGATATGAAGGTACGAGAGCTAATCACAAACTTCACAGGTGTGTCGAGGTTGTGCTCTTTGCTCTAGCTTGTATTGTGTGGCATTATCGCAATGAGAGTGCCTTCAATAACGAGAGTAGAAGTTCTAAATTATGGACTTGGCTAGTGAAATCAAAATGGTGGCATCCAAGTGGTTAAAAACAAGAACTAATAGTGGTTTTAGAATGAATTGGTTAAAATGGTGCATTGATCCTAAAACTGTTTGTCTAATGTTTTGTAACTCTTAGCATTTTGTTAGCATTTCTATTTATTTGTCTTTCGCTGTTAAGGAAATAAAATAATGGTATAATAAAATTTGCTTATAACGCCCACTCAAGCACAAATATACAACAGCTTGGCACAAATTCAATATACCAATACACAAATAATACAAAGGTACTTCATGAGATAATTTATACATCTTTAAAATTCAATTTCTCACAATGAGTTATATTCACCGATGAACCCAAATTAAAGAAGCACATAAGAGCGATGGTGTATGGTTTTAACGGTACATTCCTCCAGGAGCCATCGGTGGCATATGTACATCATTCTGTCTCTCCATGTTACCTTCCCAACCTGGAATTTAAATACACCTCAAAATCAAACTATGATATATAATAATACAATATATTGTAAACATATCACATGTTGCTTAAATGGGATTGCTTACCAATAGATATGTCAAATCCACGATGTTTAAGTTCACGATACTCTTGACACAAGGCACATGGTTCACAGAAAAAATGAACAAGGCAATCAGGACATGGGTTTTCACGCAACCCGAATTGACTCCTCATCTTAGTCCGATTTGTACAAGAATACAAGCATCCACACCCTGTGAAAGCCTGGATTAAGGCATAGAGAGCCCCATGTTCTCCGCAAGCTGGATAACACATTAGCTAGTTTGTTTATCTCAAATATCTAAAATAATGAACACTTACACACCATCGGCAAAAACCCATTTTTTACTTTAAATTAGTTTACACTGGATAACATAGTATCAATACATTTAGCAAAAGAAGTTACTTACAAGTGTTCCCTTGGTCAATGATCTCAGCTATTTGTCCGAAAGTAATGCACGGACACAAACATGTTAAGCAACCTGTGGTAAAGAAACTGGATTTATATTTCGTTCTATCTTGTAAAAGAGAAGAAAAAGAAGGTCATCAGCCATGGACTTACAGTTGGGGACATCGGAGCAGCATGCACAAAGGCTGCTGGACCAGTTGACGTTAAGGGGAGGAGGAGTTACGTGTTGAGCTGGAACACCAGTGGCATGCGGCTGAGGAGGTCGTCGTTGTGGTGGTGGTGTTTGTTGGTGGTATAATGGTGGTGGGGCTGATGGTGGTGGTGATCTTAATGAATACTCTAGTGGGAGAGAAGGGTACATGATGCAATTATGAGTTAGTTTATGGTGCACGAATATCGTCAATATTTGACTGAAATTAAGTGTTTTGATGAATATTTAATGTTTAAACACACCTAACTATTATTTAAGCGCCAACTTGGAGGTTTAAGTAACGTTGACGAAGACCTTGTTCTTATCGATAAAAAAACCTTTGAACTTTCTACAACTTATGAACTTTCTATAATCCAATTTATAAAAGAATTAAATATAACACAAAAATACATACATTGAACCGAATGGACACAAGAGGTTGAACGAAAATTTCTTACGCATATAAATCTATCTATAGGACCATTTCAAGGGTAAATTGAATGAACATATCTTAATTTCTTAATTTCTAGAAAAACTTCGAAAACTTTTTATCTCCGGTTTCATCCTCATTTCTTCGCCTTTTTTCATAATTCCAGTGGGGTTCTTACTCAATTTCTCAAGCTATATATAATGCCTAGGTTTAAAAATGATAGGTGGATGGTTTTTGACATTGAACCTCATGGTTTTCTTCAAATTAACTCATTAATTTTTGTATAATTTTTTTATGAATCATTATTTTATATTAATATAATCTAATTACATATATATTTTTATATTTTTTTAAATTCGAATTATCGCATATAAAGCATCAATTACATATATAAAATAAAATATTTTGTAATGTAAAACATGTACATGAACATGAAACGTATTTAAAATAAAATAAAAAAATTTCCGATCAAAACATGGATGTCATTATTATGTAGCTTAAAATGTTAAATTAGAACGAAAACACGAAAATTTAAAACTAATGTGGACATGAAATTTAGAAATGTGGAGTGTGGACAAATCCTAAATAAACGAGTCATTAAAATCAAAGCCCAATCCCTACTTTATCTTTATTTGGCATTTGGTCATCTGGACCATTTTCTAAAGCATACTTGGCATTATTATGGATATACACTATAATCACGCATAAGTTCTAACCTTCTCTTTTTTTTTTTTTAACCGACGGAAATATATTAACCACTAACTAAAAAAAAAGTAAGGAAAAAAACCAAAACATATTTATAGCATGTTAAACGGCTAAAAATTTCAATTCATTCAATTATAATTACAAAAATTACCTCTACGCAACAACAAACTAAACATCATAGTGACAATGCTATCGGCCAACAAAAGCAGGGTAATTATGGCCGCTTTGAAAACCATGTCGTTTCTCGCCTTCCAAATACACTACAAGAACCCACAACAAATGGCAATCAAAACTTTTTTCTCCTTAGTACAACGCTCCTAGTTCGTCGCAAACTCAACGAAATCAGAAACATTTTCAAACTGTATTCAGGAGATACCGCACCAATTAAAAATCCACAATAAAATTTGCTTAGAAAACTAGTTGTTGAATAACACATGATCCGTCACCCCCATCTCCTCCTTACACAACATACAAAAGTTATTGCTTGTGTTAATACCTCTACCATCCAACGTATCAGCCAAAGGGATCGTATCCATGCACGCCCGCCACACGAAACAATTGATTTTAAGAGGAACAATTGAGACCAAAACAATGGGATTCAGCACTCAGTAGTGATTTTCTGTCGATAAGTTGTCTGAGTTTATTGAAATAATAGCTCCCATCTTTAGAGAGGCTTAACTTCCAGTCGTCCCCAACCCCCAAGATCGAGACCGCCTAAGCAAATCGGTAACACATACCAGCTTTAAGATTTCAGATAGACTCCTAGGCAACCGATTCTAATCCTAGGAAACGAAACCATGATCAAACCTTTCTGAAACCAAAGCTGACTTACGTTTATCAAGATCAAGCAGAAGAAGGAAGTCATGCTGAAGAATACCCCCAACAAGCCAATCCTTGTTAGAATTATAGGTTTAATGGCACTTGGAAATCTGAGAATCGTGTATAACACTTTCAGATTAAAGTATTTGGGTGGTACTCCCAATCTTTAATTGGATAAGACTTAGAATTGAGAAACAGGAGAGAGAATGATTAAGATGTTATGAAGAAGAAGGGTACCAACAACAGATTTCAGATATGATCATATAACAGAAAAAGTTTATGTCTTAAAACTGCTACATGACAGTTTTATGTGCTAAAACAGTCCACAAACTGTCATCAACCAACTTAAATCCAGGTCTAGAATATGGATCACAAAACCGAGTACATTTATCAAAAATACAAATTTCTGATGCAAAACTAGGTACTTAAATCCAGCCAGGAGCTCTGCCCCTTGGATCCCGCCAGGGGCTGCAACCCTTGTACCCCGCTCCCAGGGGCGCTGCCCCCTGACCCACATTGGTTCAGGGGCTTTACCCCTAAATAGCAGTATATTTTCAACAAAGACAAAATTAAACAATGTGCACTCCGCACCATACCGATTTGTTCAATAATTGTCGAAATGACATTGATCAACAAGTTGACCCCATTACATTTATATAAAATTAGTGATATAAAATCACCAACAAACCTCCCCCATTTAAGTGTAATCTCGATTAACTTAACATTAAAATCATAACAACAACAAACTGATGCATAAATGAAATATCGTGACGACTGAATTTCACATTAGTATATTACTCATTCCAAATATTCGAATATTAGGGTGACACTAAGGATTGAACCCTTTCCATTCTAAGTGAATACATGAAGATAATATACACAACAGCTTACATTCTCAAAGTTCTAAATTGACACTATATTTTACTAGCTTGTGTCCCATCCTTTAATAAGCATATCAAAGCCAAGTTCTAACTTCTTAAAGCAGCTAAACTTCATGCTTATATAGGTAGTCCTTTTATTCTTGCACCTGCAAATGCAATTTTTCAAAAGAATTATTAAGAATATAAATTCAACCTCCTTAACTTGCAGTACTTAACACATACCTTGGGATAATGATAATAATGTGTTCCAATCTTCAAATATCAAGCTTTCCACATTGAATTCAGCATCTAATATCACATTAGATGGGAATTAGGTATCTCAATATAAAAGATTTTAAATGGACTATAAACCCATCCCTACAGCTACCTTGTGCACAAGATCTCGTGCTAACCCTTTGGTTAGATGATCGGCTAAATTCAACTGAGTTCTTACAAACTCCACAAATATCACACCAGTCATGATGAGCTCACAAATCATGCTATGTCTAACACCTACATGTCTATACTTTCCATTGTACACTTAACTATAAGCCTTAGCCAAGGTTGCAACACTATCACATCTGATAGAAATGGTAGATATCAGTTTGGGCCATAATGGTATTTCATAAATCAAATTCCTTAGCCACTCAGCTTCTTTGCCAACAGCAAACAATGCAACACATTCAGACTCCATGTTTGAGTTAGTAATACAAGTCTATCTCTTAGATGCCTAAGAAATAGCACCGGCCTCCTCCAAAAAGAAACACCCAACCACTTGTAGAGGAGTGATCCTCTAAGTTGTTAATCCAGTTGGCATCTGAATAACTTTCCAAAACAGAAGGATATCCACTATAAGTTAAACCATAATTCAAGGTCCCTTTCAAGTACTTGAATACTATACTTACAACTTGCCGATGATGTGAACTAGGATTACTAGTATATCTACTAAGCTTTCTTGCATCATATGCTATATCCGGCCTAGTACTAATCATGACATACATTAGAAAACTAATAGCCCTTGAATATTCAAGTTGAGACACTGGAGATCCTTTATTAGGTAGAAGCTTAAGACTAGGATCTATAGGAGTGCTAACAGGAGAACAATTCTCAAAGTTAAAATTTTTCAATATCTACACAATGTAATGAGATTGAGAAATTGAAATCCCATTGTTTCCTTTTCTAATTCTTATACCAAAAATTACCTCAGCCTCCCCCGTGTCTTTCATTTCATAACTAGATGATAAGAACTTCTTAGTTTTATCAACTTCACTTTGATCAGTACCAAAGATTAACATATCATCAACATATAGACAAATTATAACTCCTTTACCAGAAGAATCAAATTTTTTATATACACATTTGTCAACATGGTTTAATGCAAAACCATTAGACAATATCACATCATCAAACTTTTGATGCCATTGTTTTGGTGCTTGATTCAAACCATATAATGATTTCTTCAACTTACATGCCTTATGTTCAGTAACAGGCATCACAAATCCTTCATATTGTTTCATGTAAATTTCCTAATCCAACACCATTCATAAATACAGTTTTCATATCCATTTGGTGAATCACAACATTATGTATATCTGCGAGAGCTAACAATAATCTAATTGTGGAAATTGTAGCAACGGGAGCATAAGTATCAAAGAAGTCAATGCCTTCTTTTTACCTAAATCCTTGAATAACCAATCTTGCTTTATACTTATCAATTGTGCCATCCACCTTCATTTTCCCTTTGAGGATCCACTTACTTCCTAATGCCTTGCAACCAGGAGGCAAAATATCACAATACCAAAGTATTGTTAAACATGATAGAGTCAATCTCATCCTGAATTGCTTCTTTCCAGAAATGAACATCCCTAGAAGCCATAGCTTCACTAAAAGTCTTTGGATCCTCCTCAATATTAAAACAATATTGATGTTGACATATAGTCTCATTCCTTGTTCCTTCAACTAGATAAAGTTGAAAATCAGATCCAAAAGACTTAGCTTTTCTAACTCTTGTGCTTTTCCTAGGTTCAGATATAGAGCTTACACCACCAAAAACATCTTCAGCTTAATTAGTACTCTTGCTAGAAGATTGATGAATCATGTCCCTTGGTCGAGGTATAGATGTGAATCTTTCTTCATCAAAGATAGCATCTCTTGACTCTATCACAGTGTTTACAGCCGCAGAGTCATTAGATTCTATAACATAGAATCTATATGCTTTGGAATGCTCAGCATATCCAATAAAGATAAAATCTATACCTTTCTCACCTAATGTTTTCGTTTTGGGTTTAGTAAGCCTGACAACTGCTCTACAGCACCAAAATTTGAGGTAACTCAAATTTGGTACCTTTTTACACCAAAGTTCATAAGGAGTATTCTTACTCCTTTTGTTTGAAGTTCTATTCAATATGTGACATGCAGTTAACATTGCTTCATCCCAAAACCCTTCACTTAATCCATAATAGGAC